TGTGGGCTTTGAATGGACGGGAAAATTATCTAGATCCCCAGATAACTTTAGGCAACAACTCTCTGGCTTTTAGACTTGCTTTTGCGTTTTTCTCAGGGTGAAGCCCAGGATTATGGAATTTTCCCATCTTCTGCTTTTTTTTTGGAAGGAGACTTGAATGGCCACTCTCTAAGCACTCCTGGTGGCTAGACCCCTGTCACCTGGCCATTCTGTCACCATGGGGCCTGGCCCAATGTCACCATTGTCTGCTCCTGGGTAGAGACAAAGGTGTTTGGTGAGCAGGCTCTTTTATTTAACATTTTACAAAACTTTGTCTTCCATTATTAAGTAATTATGTTGCGTGTGCACAGTCTGTTCTCCCAATTAGACTCACTTCCAGGAAAGCAGGATCTTATTCTCTATTTGTAGCCCACTGCTATGCAGCAAGTACCAGTTGTCAGATGCTTGTAGAAATCAACCAGGCAGAGGTCAGCAGTGCATTTCTGAGTCAATGTGTGAGAAGACAACAAAGGGAAAAATGAACTGGTTTCCTTGAGACTTTTCTTTATTCCAAGGCAGAAGGGTAGAGGACGAGTTTCGCTCCACTTCTGCTAGGGTTCCTGGCCTGTCTCTGCACCACCCACCATACCCAGGAGATGCCAGTGCATGGTAAAGTCACTCATTTGCAACAATTCTTCACAAATTTACCAACTAATAAATTTACATACTCAGTTAGAGTGTGTGGGTCCCCAGCTTTGCCACCTCATCTCCCCCAGCCCCACCCCCCCATTCCAGCCAACCTCCCTCCACCTAATATACACACATACCTCATTTATCTCTATTTCTATGGATCCTCAGCTCTTCACAACCCCCCACTCCCAGGCTTAGCCCTGTTCCAGGCACGTGGAAAGACACAGGCTTCAGAGGCAGGCAGACCCAAGTTCAAACCCAAGTGTGTCGCTTTCTAAATATGAGACCTTGAATAGGTTACATAACCACTCTATACTTCAGCTTCCTCATCTGTGAATTGGACATATGATACCTGCCTCAAAGTTACCCCATAGATAAAGCACCTGGCTTATCCCTTTCCTAACTTATTTTCCTTTAGTTTCCAAGTCTTTCTGGAAGTTCGAAGCCCATTCTGATGAGATTTAGCACATCACTCAAAGCAGTGATAATTTGCTGAGCATCACTAATTTGCTGAACCCCCTCCTGCTCACCAACTTGGCTCTCATACTAGCCTTCTCCTAACTCTGACCCGTAACCATAGCAACCTCTGCCCCCATCCCAACCCCCTGTAGATAGACCTCTCCAACCCCAAAGCCTGCTGCAGCCCCCCCCTTGCTGTCCGCATGTCACCCCTGCTCTTTGTCCTGTGCGGAGGCCCCTGCCATGACTGTGGGGCTGCGTTTGCTATGCCAAATGCTGCAACCAAGGCCCTTCTTGCACCTGCCCATTACACTGCCTTTCCTGCATGCACACGCTGGCATGTAAGTGAGGACGGCAAAGATGCTGTTCCCCACCCAGAGGCACTTGAGAAGTTACTAGTACTTTCTGCAAAGTGTGGCTTCAGAGCTCCTTTGGGCTTGGCTTCAGAGCAAAGAATTCTTCCTTCTCAGCATCCTCAAGGATGGTTGTTCTTCATCCATGGAGAACAAATTCAATGTGTGGAAAATGTCAAAAGTCACGGAGAAAAGAAAAAGTGCCAGCGTGCTGGGATGGAAGGACCACAGCCCAAAGCAGAGGGGCTTTCTGCAGCCCTGTCCCTTCCCCATGGAGTGGCGACTTCTCTGAGAATTTTCAGTATCCTCATTTATAAAAGAGGCTTGGCCACAATGCCTCACAGGGCTGTCATGAGGATCCAAGGAAATGAGATAGCTATGAGAATGAAATCCAGTCAAAGAGTGATTGCCATTACTGCTACCTTCTTGGGGACTTTCTCATGCGACTGCCGGCCGTAAACTCCCTGAGACATGAGCCTGCTGACGTGACCTACCTGCTGGTCAACACTGAGTCCTCGGGCCTCATAGCTCTGTGTCTGAATGGCTCTCCATAAATATCTGCTGATCAGTTGATCAGCTGAGTTCCCTGTCTTTTCAATGAAGGAGTTACACAGTCATCTTAAGCTTCTTCTCTCACCAGCTGTTAAGAAGCTGCCCACATATAGGATGGGTTTGTGGGCCAAGAGGTATTAGCCTTCTTTGTTTTGATTAAAAAAAAAAAAATGAGGCTAACCACCAAGGCACAAGACAGGAGTTTTTTCATGTCTCATAAATTTGGTATGAAAGGCAATTTCCACAAGAAAAATCCCAAGAATGTTCTAAGGAATGGCAACATCATCAGAAAAACATGTGTAACCTCACAAAGTGACCACTTTGAAAAGGATAACCCTTAGTAGATGGCTATGCTCATAAATGTTTGTATTAAAAAAAAAAAAAAGGAGGGTGGGAGTCCATGACTGGGCTGTCACACCAAGAGGAAGAATGCTTACCAGGAACCCCTACCTGTGCCAAGACCATCACTTTGGAAAGGTGATGTACTGTCAGGAGGAGATAGACCCAGGAAGAGATGAGAGCTAGAAAGAGGACACCAAATGTGGTAGGAGGGGCCTGCTAATTAGACCAGTAGGTGAAACAGACAAGAAGGGAGGTGAGGCTGGGCTGGATGAGCTTGGATGAATCAAGCCTTCCCATGGGGCGGGGACATCCTGTCTAAAACACTAGCCTTGTTTAAATCCCTTATAAAAGGTTTCTGTCCCACTCACCTGGTACTCCACAGACCGCATAACAGCTACTTGCTTCATCCTGCCTGCGCATTAGGTAAGTCCCCTCCTGAGGAACCTCTTTCTTGCTCGCAGTGTCTTGGTGATTTGAGCTGATAAAACCAGGGCTACCAGATAGGGTCTTGTAGGGCTACCAGTGGTGGCTGTGGGCAGAAAGCGTCTGCTCTGATGGGCTTGGGCAAACCAGGTGTTCTTCCAAAGCAGCTACACTCTCTCCTCCTCCCCTGCGGCTGCTCTGGCAGCAGCTCCTTTCACTGAGAGGCTGTGTTGGCAATAGCGACAGAGCCACCCACGTACCTTCCTAGAGCAGCTAAGTTGTCTGGCTTTTAAGGTTCCGGAAGCCTCACCTCAGTGCTCAGAGTCTGTGCCACCAAGCAACTTCTGCCAAACCCAACAATGGGGTTGAGCCTTCTCGTGGAGGGAGAGGCTTACATGGCAGCTCTCCCCCACCCCAGGGCCATATGTAGGCAAGATGAGTTCGTGAATTTTTTTTTTTTGAGACTTCATTTTTAATATTATTTATTTATTTATTTGGCTGCACCAGGTCTTAGTTGCAGCAGGCAAACTTAGTTGCAACATGTGGGATTTAGTTTTCTGACCAGGGATCAAACCTGGGACTGCTGCAATGGGAACATGGACTCTTAACCACTGGACCACCAGGAAAGTCATGAGTCTGCACATTTATTCTAAGCAATTTGAAATGTAACTAAAAGGTTATCTTATTATTATCTGTACAGTTTAAAGGTCAGTGGCCTCCGTCTTCCACAAGGATTTTTTTTTTTCTTTTAAAGATCTTTTCACTTCTCTGTTGAGGTGCAATAGTGTGAGTTTTGACCTACACAAGGAGCAAGGTCTTGTTGAAAGATCTTGAAAGCAAGGTCTGCTGTGATTTTTGGCTAGTAGATGGTAGCAAGGACACCCCTTGAAGAGCTCCCCTAGGGTCTGTAACTTTCCACATAATCTGCTTCCTCCAGCACTGAGTCCCCCCACCCCTTCCCTCCTTTACTCACTTAGCTCTCTAATCATGCCTTTCTCTCCCCCATGGCCTTCTCCTTCCCTTCTCCATGGTACTCTCCCCTGGTTTTCCAGCTTCTGTAGCTTTCCATTCCTCACAACCCCCGCTTGCATCTGAAGCTCGCCTTGTGTGATGGTCATCTCTTTTGGGCTCTACAAAGCTATGATCAATGCATCTCCAGGTTTCTTTGCCTCTTGCCCATCCACCAAATCCAGAAACCAGGGAAACTCTCCCTTCAGTTCCTCACAGGCCACCAGGGCCATGGAGGAACCACACAGCTATGGGCAGCTGACTTCCTCCAAGGTCCCAGCGCTGAGGACAGAGGTCACATTCAGAGAAACATGAACTCTCAGAACTGGAAGTCCTCCCACCCAGGAAGGCACCAGCTCCACAGTATTCCCGGAAGCTGGCAGCCCGGCTTCTCTGTGAACACATTCTGAAAAGGAAGCCAGAAAGGGCAGAGTTGAGCCCTGGTTGGCCCCCATCAGAGGTAGGAGTTGACCCACATACGTACTTACTGCCTGTGGGTGTTCCCAGCAGGACCCTAATACCTGTGATAGCAATGGCATTGCCCTGTCCATGGGGTACAGTCTAGAAGGCTCACTGCATTTGGCTTCTAGGATTTCTTGGTTCCTTACAAGCTGTGTGGCCTTGGGCAAATGACCTAACTTCTCTGAGCCTGTTTCTTCACCTATAGGTGAAGAAAAAAAAGTGAAGATAATCAGAATTACAGGAGATGATGCCTCTGAAAGTGCCTGGTGAGCAGAAGAGTGTACATAGATGTGCACAAATTATATGTGGGTATAATAACCTGCTAATGATATTTAATAGCTAGCACTTAGTCTTGACAGCCTCTGCCAAGTGTTTTACATGAAAAATCTCTTTAAATCTTCACAATAATGGTATAAAATAAATACTAGTACTGCCTTCATTTCACAGTGAGTAAACTGAGGCACAGAGAGGCAAAGCATCCCGGCCCCGCTCACCAGACAGGGAGGCGGTGGGGCCGCATCTAGACCCAGCCTGCAACCACACCTGCTCCTCCTTCCCGTCGATAAAACGCGTTAGGTAGGCAATGCCAAGGAAGACACAGCAGAGGAGCCCAAAGCAGAGCTGAATAGGCAAAGAAAGGACTTAGAAGCAGGAGTGCTTTCCAGGAACAGCTAGGTTGATTACGGAGCCCCCAAGCGGGGGCTTTTCCTCTTTCCTCAGCAGGACTCGAAGATGCCGCAGTTACTGCGAAACATTAACGGGATCATCGAAGCCTTCAGGCGCTATGCCAGGATGGAGGGTGATTGCGCAGTGCTGGAAAGAGGGGAGCTGAAAAGGCTCCTGGAGAAAGAGTTCGCTGACGTCATCGTGGTACGAAACCCACGGGTGAAGGGTGCGGGGAGCAGGAGGGAAGAGAGAATGACCATATTTGCCTTGGGATTCATTTGACTATTCTAGAAATGGCAATCGTTACTTTCTGTTGCTTCTTAAGTCTGATATGGCGGCCACTTCCACATCTACCGAAGTGTGATCATCAGTAACGAGCATTCACGAGAAGCACGGCTTTGTGCTTGGCTGGAAGCAGTTGCTCCAAGATATTAGCTGAGAGGTCACATCAGAAGTGAGGCGTAGCAGCTGGGGGAGACTCTGGGAGCCCCTCCCTACAAGACAGCCCCAGGGCCCTGATGCACTTACCTGTCTCTCCCTGCCTTTGGTGTGCAGCTAAAGAAACCAGGATGGTGCAAGTCCTGGGGGCAGGAAGGTGTGTGCTGTTTCTGCACACTGAGGGAAACCCACCAGATGCCCCTACTTGGCAAAACACCTGACCCCTTCAGTGAGGACCTCACAGAATTCCCACGGGGCCATCTTCTTGCTGAGATTCTCTTGGTGTCGGGCTCGCTGAAGGAAAAAACCACCTCTATGCCAGGGTCCAGGGGCTGAGGACAGCCTGAAGAATCACTACAAGCTCAGTCATTTAGTCATTCTTCATGAAATCTTTACCCAATTCTCCTGTAGACCAGAAACTGGGTCCAACATAGAGGATACAAAGCAAAGCATGCTTCCTGCCTTTGAGGGAGAGAGGCTGGACTAAATGAGAGTGGTTTTGTGTTAGTGCTTCTGTGGCACCAGTGTGTGTGTGTGTGTGTGTGTGTGTGTTTGTGTGTATGTGCAGTGTCGGGGTGCCAAGTAGCTAGGCCCCCAGGCCCAGGGGTGGGATGCCTGGAAACAGCTGACTGGCCTGACCTCGTCCTCCTCAGAGGAGGGGTACTGATGTAGCCTCATCTTCCCCACAGAAACCCCATGATCCGGCCACTGTGGATGAAGTCCTGCGCCTGCTGGATGAAGATGACACAGGGACAGTGGAATTCAAGGAATTCTTGGTCTTGGTGTTCAAAGTCGCCCAGGCCTGTTTCGAGACACTGAGTGAGGGTCCTGAGGGAGCGTGTGGACCTCAGGAGTCTGGCCGTGATGCCGCTGCAGCCACCCAAGAGCCAGGGGAAGGACAGAGAAGCAGCCCTGCAGTGGGAAGGCCTGGGAACAGGCAAGGCCCTGCAGGGAGCAGTGACGCACAGAGTGAGCAGGCTTCCGGGGGGCCGGGAGGGCCTGGGCCACAGACCCAGGGTCAGGACATCAGCTCTGCTCAGATCAGTCACCAGGACAGGCAGTTTGAGTCTCAGAGACAGGAGGGAGTGAGCCAGTCTACACAAGCAAGGGGTCACGTGGAGCAGGCCCAGAGAGTGCGAGAAGACAAGAGTCCTCAGACCAGAGAGAGGGGGACAGAGAGAGAGCCGCAGGCCAGGGAACAGGACAGAGCCCACCAGACAAGTGAGGCCGGCACTGGAACCATAACTCAGACCCACACACGTACCACTCAGACAGTGGAACAAAATAGGAGCCATCACACAGGAAGTGCCAGCACCCAGCCACAGGAGTCCACCAGAGGGACTGGGACCCACAGTCAAGACGGAAGGCAGACAAGCCAAGTGGTGACAGGAGGACACATTCAGGCAGAGACAAGGTCACAAACCCAGACGGTGGAACAAAATAGGAGCCATCAGACTGGAAGTGCCAGCACCCAGCCACAGGAGTCCACCAGAGGGACTGAGACCCACAGTCAAGATGGGAGGCAGACAAGCCAAGTGGTGACAGGAGGACACACTCAGGCAGAGACAAGGTCGCAAACCCAGACGGTTGAACAAAATAGGAGCCATCAGACTGGAAGTGCCAGCACCCAGCCACAGGAGTCCACCAGAGGGACTGAGACCCACAGTCAAGACGGAAGGCAGACAAGCCAAGTGGTGACAGGAGGACATATTCAGACACAGACAAGGTCACAAACCCAGACGGTGGAACAAAATAGGAGCCATCAGACTGGAAGTGCCAGTACCCAGCCACAGGAGTCCACCAGAGGGACTGAGACCCACAGTCAAGATGGGAGGCAGACAAGCCAAGTGGTGACAGGAGGACACACTCAGGCAGAGACAAGGTCGCAAACCCAGATGGTGGAACAAAATAGGAGCCATCACACAGGAAGTGCCAGCACCCAGCCACAGGAGTCCACCAGAGGGACTGAGACCCACAGTCAAGACGGAAGGCAGACAAGCCAAGTGGTGACAGGAGGACATATTCAGACACAGACAAGGTCACAAACCCAGACGGTGGAACAAAATAGGAGCCATCAGACTGGAAGTGCCAGCACCCAGCCACAGGAGTCCACCAGAGGGACTGAGACCCACAGTCAAGATGGGAGGCAGACAAGCCAAGTGGTGACAGGAGGACACACTCAGGCAGAGACAAGGTCGCAAACCCAGACAGTGGAACAAAATAGGAGCCATCAGACTGGAAGTGCCAGCACACAACCACGGGAGTCCACCTGTGGCCAGATCAGAGGAACTGAAGCCCACAGTCAAGACAGGAACCAGACAAGCCAAGTGACAACAGGAAGACACAGTCAGACACAGACAAGGTCACAAACCCAGACACACACTCATACCGTGGAGCAGGACAGGAGCCATCAGACAGGAAGTGTCAGCACCCAGCCACGGGAGTCCACCTGCAGCCAGGCCAGGGGGACTGAGACCCACAGTCAAGACGGGTATCAGACGAGACAGGTTGTGACAGGAGGACACATTCAGACACAGCCGGGGTCACAAACCCAGACACACACTCAGACCAGGGAGCTTGACAGGAGCCATCAGAGAGGAAACACTAGCATCCAGTCACAGGAGTCCATCAGAGGCACTGAGATCCACAGTCAAGACGGGTATCAGTCGAGACAGGCTGTGACAGGAGGACACATTCACACACAGGGAGGTGCCCCCCAGGCCGTGGAACAGGACAGGGGCCAGATTACAAGCCACACCACGGCAGGAGAACAGGGCCAGACCCAGAGGCAGTCAGGCAGTAGTCAAAGACAGACACAGGTGAGCAACTGCGAGGCAGGAGAGACAGTGCTGGGAGGGCAGGCCCAGACTGGGGCGAGCACTGTGACGGGCAGAAGGGACACGAGCGGTACCCACCCACCGTGCAGTGTGACAGGAGGTCAGGGAGAAAGAGATCCCACCGCGGTTCAGCAGGAGTGGGTTGATGACCACACAAGGGAGACAGTGATCCGAAGGCAGGACCAGGGCAGTCTGCACGCTAGTGTCCCTTCAGCACAAGGCCGGGAGGCAGCCCAGCCAGAAGGGAAGCGAGGACTAACAGCTAGGGGACTGTATTCCTACTTCAAAAGCAGCAAGCCATGAGTGCCCCAGCTCTGGACTCCAGTGCCCAGCACAGAGAAGAGCAGAGGGCAGTTGGCTTGCTGTGCCCTGGCCAGTCTGGTTAGCAAGTCTCTGAACGTTAGCTCTTCATCGCGGTACTTCGCTCTTAGTTCTTTCTCAGTGAGGCCATTTCTGCAAGGTGATTGCTATCCTAAAATTTTGTCTCTTACCTGCTTTGCTGAGCAGATGCTCTCAGGGGCAAGAAGACATGGAACAACTCATCCCTTTGTGCCATGTTTTCCTTAGCTTGTGGGGGGTTTCAGTTACTTTTATAGATTCTGTTGTCTGCCATTGCCTCATCTATCCTAATGAATCAATAAAAGCTTCCTAAGCAACTGGGCTTCATGTTTCATTCAATTACTATTAACATGATGGACTAAAGACTACAGGGCTTTGATGACAGGACGTGATGAACTGGACGTGGTCCCTACCCTTGTAGAACATCTGGTTGAGAAAACACTATGCAAGATTCCACAAGTTATGTAACCACTGTGGGAAAGAGTATGGAGATTCCTTAAAAACACTAAAAGTAGATTTACCGTATGATCCAGCAATTCCACTCTTGGGCATATATCTAGGAAAAGACAAAAGCTCTAATTTGAAAAGATACAGGCACTACAGTGTTCATAGCAGCACTATGTATAACAGCCAAGTCACGGAAGCAGTGCAAATGTCCATCAACAAATGAATGGATAAAGATGTGTTACATATATACACAATGGAATACTACTTAGTCATAAAAAGGAGCGAAATAATGCCATTTGCAACAACATGAATGGACCTAGAGATTATCATACTAAGTGAGGTAAGTCAGATAAAGAAACATATTATATGATATCATTTATATGTAAAATCTAATAAATAGTACAAGTGAACTTATTTACAAGACAGAAACAGACTCCCAGACATAGAAAACAAGCTTACAGTTATCAAAGGGGAAGGGAGAAAGGATTAACAGATGCATAATACCATAAATAAAATAGATTTAAGTAACAAGGTTTTACTGTATAGCACAGAGAACTGTATTCAATATCTTCTAATAAACTATAATAGAAAATCATTGAAAAAAGACAATATATACGTTTACATATATATATAACCAAATCATTTTGTCAAACACCTGAAACTAACACAATATCGTAAGTCAACTATACCTCTAAAAAAAGAGATTTCAAGGGCTGTCAGAGTCAAAGAGAAGAGATACCATACTTTTATATTTGGCAGAAATGGATCAGAAAGTTGCAGTCAGAAGAGGTTTCTTTTGGTAAATGCTCTTAAAGGACAAGCAGGATTTAGGTGGGCAAAGGTAATCTCAGTCTGTAAGGTAATCTCACAATCTCTAATTCTACAGTGCAAAGTCTCTGTTTACCTTGTAAGGTCACAAAGGAACGCTGACCTAAGGGTATCAATAAGTGAAAGAAGGCTTCCAGGGACTGTGTAAAGAAAGGAAAAGGCATGTGTTCCCAGGAACTGAGCCAAGAGCCTGGGCTCCCCTTTCCCACTCTCTCACCCATGTCAGCTCTGATCATTCATGATGTCTCACTCATTGGATATGAACAGGTTATGAGTAGAACCTCTTCATTCTGGTTTATTGTGAGAATCACCTCGGAAGTAGGTTTTAAAATACAGGTTTATAAACCTAAACCTAGAGACGCTGAGTCCCAAAGTTTGGAGCAGAGCCTACACAAAGTGTTTAGGAACTTCTTAAGTGAAATTTGACTTCTGATAGAATGGCAGACTAGATACTCTGAAGGACCTCCATAAGAAAGGAAGTAGATCCTATATAAAGCACATTTTTTTCATTACATTATTGGTTTATAGGAAAAAATGGAAATCTCCCAGGAGCAAACAAAATGTGTTAGGCTGAATAATAATCTCCCAAAATGTCCATATCCTGATCCAAGGAATATGTGAATATATTATGTTATATGGCAAATGGAACTTAGTAGATGTGACTAAATTAAGAGTCTTGAGATGAGGATATTGTTCTGGATTATCCAGATGGGCCCCGTGTAATCACAAAGGTCCTCATAAAGGTGAGGCAAGAGGACCAAAGTCAGTAAAAGGATTGGAGTTGTAGTGATGTGTCATAAGCCAAGGAATTCAGGTGACTTCTAGAAGCAAGAAAATGTAAGGAAATAGAATTCCCCTAGAGCCTCTAGTTCCCTTTCCAGCACCTTGATTTTAGACTTCTGATTTCCAAGGATGCAAGGGAATAATTTTTTTAATTGTTTTAAGCCATTAGGTTTCTGGTAATTTGTTACACAGCAATAGAAAACTAATACCCAAAACAAAAACTCAGAACTAGCGCCAGAAGAGGAAGGAGGAAGCATGTGTAAAAGGTAAGGTTGTCCTTCTCAGGACAAAGTGATTTTGTATCTGTCCCTACTATAAAGATGGTAAAGCGTCTTGCTTACAATGCAGGAGACCTGGGTTCAATCCCTGGGTCAGGAAGATACCCTGGAGAAGAAAATGGCAACCCACTCCAGTACTCTTGCCTGGAAAATTGCATGGATGGAGGAGCCTGGTAGGCTATAGTCCATGGGGTCGCAAAGAGTCTGACACGAGTGAGTGCACTTTCTTTTCTTTCCTACTATAAAGAAGGCTGAGCGCTGAAGAATTGATGCTTTTGAACTGTGGTGTTGGAGAAGACTCTTGAGAGTCCCTTGGCCTGCAAGGAGATCCAACCAGTCCATCCTAAAGGAAATGAGTCCTGGGTGTTCATCGGAAGGACTGATGCTGAGGCTGAAACGTCAATACTTTGGCCACCTGATACAAAGAGCTGACTCATTTGAAAAGACCCTGGTGCTGGGAAAGATAGAGGGCAGGAGGAGAAGGGGACAATAGAGGATGAGATGATTGGATGGCATCACTGACTCGATGGACATGAGTTTGGGTAAACTCCGGGAGTTGGCGTTGGACAGGGAGGCCTGGCGTGCTGCAGTTCATGGGATTGTAAAGAGTCAGACACAACTTAGCGACTGAACTGACTGAACTACTAACCTTTAGGTATAAAGGCCAAAGACAAATAGCAAAGGACTTGCAAGGAAACATGGAATAGTATTCTCACAATCCTTTCATGGGGACTGTATTAGAGAATGAGCTTCCAAAACAAACAAGACAGAGAATCATAAAGGTGTTTGCCATAGAATGTGATACAAGGCATTTCAACATATTTAATTGTAGACTAAGACTAAAAAGGGAGGAAAAGCTGACAGAATAACATTTGACATTATATGCTTTAAATATAAATATAATACAACTAACAAAAACAGAGGAAGGAGAATAGGTATGAAAAATCAGTCAGTTCAGTCACTGGCAATGATGCCATCCAACCATCTCATCCTCTGTCATCCCCTTCTCCTCCTGTCTTTAATCTTTCCCATCATTGGGGTCTTTTATAAGGAGTCAGCTTTTCACATTAGATGGCCAAAGGATTGGAACTTCAGCTTCAGCATCCTTCCAATGAATATTCAGGACTGATTTCCTTTAGGATTGACTAGTTTGATCTTCTTGCAGTCCAAGGGACTCTCAAGAGTCTTCTCCAACACCACAGTTCAAAAGCATCAATTCTTCTGTGCTCAGCTTTCTTTATAGTCCAACTCTCACATCCATACATGACTACTGGAAAAACCATAACCTTGACTAGATGGACCTTTGTTGGCAAAGTAATGCTCTGCTTTTTAATATGCTGTCTAGGTTTGTCATAGCTTTTCTTCCAAGGAGCAAGCACCTTTTAATTTCATGGCTGAAGTCACCACTGCAGTGATTCTGGCCAAGATAATAAAGTCTGTCACTGCTTTCATTGTTCCCCATCTATCTGCCATGAAGTGATGGAACCTGATGCCATGATCTTAGTTTTTGTACTAACAGAAACACAAATTAAAACTACATATAGATACCACTTCTCCACATCAGTTTGGCAAAACTCTAAAAGACAATAGACTTGAGAAGACTTTCTGAGAATAGACTTTGCTGATGAAGGTGTAAAGAATAGGTACCCCCATATTTTTCTGATGAGAGTGAGAAATGATACAGCCTCATTGGAGAGAATTTGACAAAATTCATCATTATTATATCTGCCTGTTTTGTTCTTGCTGTTTCTCTGAAACAGATCTTGACAGATAGTAGCATTCAATAATTATCTGTTTAAAAAATAATACATTAAAGTTTGTATAATCTCTATGCAGACTTGTGAATGTGGAAAGGCAACTATAATCAAGCTCTTATCGAATAAGAAAATGGAGTTTCTTCAGTGCTGTCAAAGTCAGAGTTAGAAATTAGAAAATGGCAGCAGTAAAACTAAACTCAGACTTTTGGGTATAAACTCAGTGACTGATGATACCTCACAGAGAAAAAAGGGCTTGGGAGTGTGTGAGGATCTACCCAAAGGGGTTGGGAGGGTGTCACAGAGAGTGGCCCTTCCAGTCCCACCTCCAGCCCCAAAAGGAGATTCTGGAGCCCACTGACACCTTGGGATAGATGCCACCCTCAGGATCTCTGTTCTCAGGGAGCTTCCAGGAGGAGGAAGGGAGTTGCTCTGGAACAGTCCAGGGAAATTTGAAAGTATAAGTGGTTCTGAAAGAGAAGTTAAGCAACCATGAGTCATGGAGAGGTGAAACTGGCAGCCTGTCCCTTGCTGGATGGATCTGGAAGCTACTGTGAAAGTCCCCCTTCCTCCATGTTTTAGGTATAAATGAATATAGATTTCTTATAAATGTTAAACATTGGAATGGATCAAATCAGAGACATAGTCATGGTGAACCTTAAAAAGAAAGAATTGAATCCAAGTCAACAGAATCTGACTCAACTTTAATTTAAGGCATTCACCTTTCAGAAGGGGGGGGTTATTCAGCCAAATACAGAAAAGGGGAGTCATGGAGTCAATGACGCAGGATCCATATAAGCAGTCTGTGTCTAGGCAAGAAGACCACCTCCCAATGGCAAGGTCTATGTATCCATGGAAATCCATCAGGTGAATA